TCCTACTATCCACACTTTCTACTTTTTTTTTCTTTTCCTTCTACTTGGTCATTGTTTGTGGCTTCAAATTCTTTGTTGGATCTTTGTTTTAGATCTTATATGAAATTTTTTACTTCCTTAATTTGGTGATCAGTGTTTATTCTCAAATCACTTATTTGATTGGTTATGGTTTCCTTAGACTCCCATTCCTTCTGTTGGCATCCATTCAGCATTCCCTTTGTGGACTCCCTGATGTCTTTCAGCTCTCTCTTTATGGATTCCATGAATGCCTCTAGTGATCTTTGTCTATTCTCATCCTGCTCTCTCATTTCCCGTATTACTCTTTGATTAGCTTCTTCACATTCATGCAATTCCTGTGGTTCTCTTTGCCTGATCTCAGCCTGCTCACACAATTCCTTTATTTCTCTTTGAGTGTTCTCAAGCTGCTCATACAATTCCTTTATCTATCTTTGAGTAGCTTCCTCACACCAATGAGCTTCCTGTTTTGATCTTTGGTTTGCCTCCTCTCTCTCCCTATCATGCTCACACAGAGTCCTTTGCAGGTTTTCAATCTTTTTATTTACCATGTTTACCATTAGTGTTTGTAGAGCTTTTTGGGAACTCTCCTCTGGATTATTCATTATCTGTTCTGTCCACTGATTATCATGAGTGGAAGTTGAGATACCTGGACTTGCCATTTTTCTTGTGTTTTTCCTGCTTATTCTGTCCATTTGGGATGAGAGTAACACCACTTTTGTGCTAGAAAACTATCTTAAGGCAAGCATCAACAAAGTATGTAATTGCAAAGTCAAAAGCCTGCAGATATAATCTAGTTCAACAGATATATTTTTCAACATCAAACAACTATGTATTAATAAGCTACAAACTGCAGAGAAAAATTTGGCAAACCAGAAGTTATTAGGTTTAGCAAGAGATGTGGTTATAAATAGGAATAGAGGGTTCTGGAAAGGTAGAGGGAGAGCTAACTTAGTCCTAATCTCAAAGCAGGAAATAGGTTGGATAGAATGATAGTAGAGACCGGGGAAAAAAGAAAGAGAAAAAAAAGACAAGGAAAAATAGTAAAACAAAAATTAAAAAATGGAACACTTAAAAATTATGCAAATTAAAAACGTAATATTCAGATTAGGATGGGAATAGGATAAGAGAAATGGAGGGATAGAAAGGAGACATGAAAAATTAAAAAATAAAAATGCTTAAAATTTTATATAGGTATATACAGGTAGTACGGCTATTAAGGAATTTAAGTCTAAGAGGTTTTGAATTCAGTAATAAATTTCTGGATTAAGTGTGTATACAATGGGTTATAAGGTCTAATAATCGAATACAGGTATATCTGAGAATGAGCAGAACAGCGATTAAATCACGCAAAAAAAGAACGAAAGAGAAGAAAAAGTGAAAAGAATGAGAAAGAAAGGAAAAAAGGATAAGAAGGTCAATAGAGCTAAACAAAAGTGAAAAAAGCACACACACACATATAAACCTAAAATAAAAATTATAAGAGGAAGAAAAAAAAGTTAATAGAAAACAATTTTTTAAATTAAAAATGTTAAAAATTTTAATGAAAGGTACCAAAAAAGAGTTCTTTGCTTTTTTGGGGTGAGATGGGAAGATCCTGTACCTCCCTTGTGTCCATAACCAGTCTCTTGTTGGAGTCTCTGGTCTGCTTGTGGTGGTTGATTTTCCTGTAGCTTGGTTGTTTCTTAAGTCAGTTTGTTTGAGCAGGCAAAAAAATGCTTTGCTTTACCCAAGATTTTGTCATCCTCCTCCCAGGCTAGTTCAATGGGAGGGAGATCTGCTTTGAGTATCACAAAAGAGGGTGATGGCTGTTTCTTTTAGTTTGGAAATGCTGTGATGGGGCTAGGTTCTGGGCAGAGTTGAGGCCTTTCAGCAAACAGTAGCATTTCCCTGAGGGGCTAGCTTCTGAGGCAGTCACAGATCCCAGCCTGGAGCCATTCTCAGGGTTTATTGTTACTGAATTTCAATTGATTGTCTAGGCTGTTGTAGGGAGGGGCAGCCTCTGGCTCTGTTTACCTAGTGAAGAAAGCCACTCTTGGGCTGGGTGAATTTTCCCTGGGTGGAGCTGAACCTGGCAGGTCAGGTTAGGTTCCTGTGACCTGCTAAATGACTTTTTGTTTTCATCCAAGGACTGAGTTGGAGCTAGCTGATCAGCCAGGCCTTTGCCAGTATCAAAGATGGAGATCTCCGGTAGTGGGCAGGGAGGGGTAGCCTTCCCTTCTCTGCTCCCTTAGAAGGAGAGAGGAAGTCAGGCTTCTACTCACACAGGAGTCTGGTTCCTGGGTCATCTCTGGTCTGTGATCTGAAGAATGATGTCTGCTCCTTGTTAGTTCTTGCTGGTGTTTAGTAGAATCCTCTCTCCTGCTGCATCTGCTGCCTTTGTCCTAGACTCTCTGTGTTGCAGCTATGGCGGCTACGGCTGCCACCATACCCGCCACAGCTGCAACCATGGCTGCTGGCAAGTGCTCAGATTTGTCTCCTTGCCTGGATTTTCCCTCTTTGGCCTAACTCTTAGTACTGTGATGGCACACTTGGTGTGATTCTCTGGCTTAGGACTGTTCACTGGAGCACTTAAACTGCTTTCTATGTGAGAGCTTGTTTAGCTTCTAGCTTCTCCTCTGCTATCTACCCGGAACCCTAAATTTAAAATTTTAATGATAAATTATTTTAAAATCTTTTCATTCGGGCACAAGTATGGATAGATAAGTGATGTGTGCTGAATCAGAATTATTCAGAAGGTTGTAAATGGATGCTTACCTAGTTTTCTCTTGGATGAATCATAGAATACAGACTGTCCTAATTGGAAAAAGTTAGCCTTCTGAGATTTTCTCCATATAAACACTCCACCAACATTTTATTAGAGGATTATTCAAGATTAGCTATATGTTGATTGATAATGACTGATCATGACAGAAAGTTGAGGGAAAACCATCTACACTTCAGTGAGGTTCTGATTTGTGCTTCACAAACTGTTATGAAAGCTCTAGTAATCTAGTAGCTGCATTTCCAAAAATTCCTTGGGTTGTTACACTTTCTGATATTGTCTCAATTCAAGTACTTCTCCTTGAAGTTCCATACTATCCAATGATGCTGTATTAGCTCTTTTTTACAATTTGCAGACTGGTCTTTTTGATGAAATTTGTGCTTTTCAAAATTGCTCTCCAAATTCCATCCACAAACTGCATACAAAATTTATCTGAAAAAATTTCTATCAGTTGATAGTGCATAACTTTTAGTTTTCATTACAAATATAGAATGTAGTAAAAATTCTCATAGCAATTATACTGCATTAGCTTGTGGGCAGATTCTAATATAAATAATATACTGTGTTCATGTAGAGATTTTGAGTATCCAAAGTAATAAGCCTGTGGTCCTAAAACCTATACCTTACTTATATTGAGTGACAAATACATCTTCATATAAGTACAGAAGTTCTCCCTGTATCTTTTTAATATATATTTTTTATTATAAATACTGTACAGAGGGGTTCCAATTACATAAGTAAGGCAATGAATACATTTCTTATTGAGCATTGTTACCCCCTCCTTTGTTTTTCCCCTACCATCTCTTCCCTTCACACGTCCCCACCTCCCCACTTCACCCATCCTCTGATAGAGAGTCTTGTATATCTCATTGTTACAATGGGTCAATCAGTATCCTTTCCTTATATCTTAAATGAAAAAATGCTGGATTGATTTATGCTGATTCTATTTGTGTAGACACATCTAAAATCACTGGCCAAGTCCAGGAGCACATAAATGAAATGCCATCATTTTTTTGTCAGTTGGTATAATTGTGTTCTACACATTTATTGACAGGCTACAAATTATTCTCAAACTTGGAAACATTAAAAATAATTCTTTTTTTTCTTATTTTCTTGGCCAGAAAATCAGCAAGACCTCAGTCAGCATTTCTCACATAGGAATTTTCACATGGGTTAGTTAAATGTATATGTAGAGTCCAGTTTCCTGAGGACTCACTCATCTGCCTAGGAATTCATGCTTGGCTGTTGGAAAAAGAGCTCAAGTAAGGATGCCATTTAAAGCCTTTTAACTTTACTCTTTACCAGGGTATTCTCCTGCTACTTTGGTTGTTGAGAGTGTCTACAAAAGTAAGCATTCTGTGAGGAGCAGGGAGACACCATATGACTTATACTTATTGAGATTTCCAAGTGACTTGCTATCCCTTGTACTGCATTTTTGTAAGTCAAATCTCTCTAAAACTACCAGTTTTAAGAGATAAGAGGAGTGGTAAAAGAACTCTTAGAGACAAATACATCTTCAATATATATTGTTCCAAGTATTCAGTTTAAGGCATATTCAAAAACTGGTGAAACTTTTGTTGGCTGTAATTATGTGTCTTTCTCCATGTGTGCATGTATACATGTGTATGAATATGTGTGTAAATAGTAACATACATGTGTACATTATGGCTTATATCATCATTTATTCCTTGCTAACAAATAAAGTAAGGAATCCCTAAAGTATTAACAGAAACTGTGTAGTTAAAGTCTTAATTCTTCACTCTGCTTCTTTACACAAAGACTTTGCAAATTCTCATTAATAAAGTTTCCTTAAAATCTGAAATGTACATACTTAGTACATAATGTCTGCTACCGTAAATCTTAAATACTTTGCAGAAAAGTTTTATACCTGCCAAAGAGTCCTATTTTTGGCATATATAAACAAAATCCCAAAATTAAGCATATTTAAAACTTTTAACAAGCCTTAACACTTGCTGCAATGTTCATTTTGACAGGTTCCTTGTATAGAATAATTGAATTCCTCCTCTTACACATCTCTTGAACTACAAATTTCTGGAATTATTTTGTTTTTGGCATGTCTATCTTGATTTTATTCTTCAATGTGTGCTTATAAAGAAATACATGATTCTAAAATTTCACAATTCTTTTTAACTTACTTTCTGTTGAATTGTCTAGTTTAATAAAATAAAAAAAATTATACTTGATATATAAAAAATGTTCTGTGCTCAAGTTAGCATCACATACACTAACATTGGAACGATACAAAGAAGATTAGCATGTCCCCTGCACGAGGATGACATGCAAATCCATGGAGCCCATATTTTTACAACAACAGATGTTGAAAGGTATGTGGCCACAGGGAATCGTACTGCATTCTTGGTGGGAGTGTAAACTTGTTCAACTACTTTGGAAAGCAGTATGGAGGTTTCTCAAAAGACTCCACATAAAACTCCTCTATGACACAGTAATCCCACTTTTGGGGATTTACCCAAATGATCATAAACAAGACCATACTAAAACTACCAGCACTACTATGGTTATTGTAACATTATTTACGATAGCTAAGATATGGAACCAACCCAGATGATCTCATTAGATGAATGGATCAAGAAAATGTGGTATATATACAAAATGGAATTCTATGCCTCCATCAGAAAGAATGACATTGCCCAATTTCTTAGGAAATAGAAAGACTTGGAAAAAAATTTATTGAGTGAAGTAAGCCAAGTCTAAAGAATCATAGGTCCCATGATTTCCCTTATTTTCAATAACGAATATATGTCTAGGATAAGCAGAAAAGTTCAAAAGATATGTGCATATAACCAGATAAGATGATGTTAAAGAAATTGAACCCCAAGATAGGGACACAAGTTGTTTTTTGTTTCTCGCTATTGTTTCTAACATACTTACAATGTGTGATGTCGTTTTTTTTTTGTTTCTTTGTATGTTTCTCCCCACGCCATAACCCATGTTTTCTCTGTATTTGAAGTTGGTGCACTTACATCTTGTATGTATGCTTCTCTAATTTGGGGAGGGGAAGGGAAAAATATGCTCAAATAGGGATACAGGTTGACCCATTGTAACAATGCGATGCACAAGACACTATGTTGCAAAATGAACTTTACAATTTAGGCAGAGGAAGGAAGGGGGAGGGGAGTGTACTTGTGGAGGTGGGAGGGAAGGGATTGTAGGGAAAATATAAAGGAGGAGGTAACAATGCTTGTTAGGAAATGTAATACTCTCCTTTTTTATGTAAATCTGACCCTTCTGCACAGTATTATTAGAATAAAAACACAAAAATGTTCTGAGATGGAAGAGTTTATTTCCTGTATTTTACCCATATAATATCGTTAACAAAGAAATTAATGCAGAACACTGAGATGAAGGTAATTTGAATAAATGTGTGTGTGTGAGTGCAGCAGCGCGCAAGCAAACACGCGCATGCATGCGAACACACGCCATGTATGTATATTGGTGTGCTCAGAGTTTAAAATCAGGGATTCAAGGTCTTGCTAGGCCTTTCCTATCTAGATTGGTGAGCTACTATATAAGCTACATCTCAATTCCTGGCTCTTTGCTAGTTAATTAAATATTTTGAAAAATAATTCATTGAAGATTTTTTTTTGGGGGGGGGCCTGATTGACTCCCAAGTGTTATCCACAGATCTCAGTCTCCTGAGCAAATATTCAGAGTAGATAGGATTGTAAGGGTGACCAGCCAGCACAAGGCTTTTAGAATAATTTTAAAAATAAAGAAATTTTATTTCATGGGATCCTGTTTTATCATCACCTAATTTGAAAGACTTTTGGAGTGATTATATGCCAATTTAATTCGTTTGGAGATTAAAAGATAGTAAGTGATGATATTTAAAAATTTTAGTACTTTTTAAAAAAGAAACTGGAACTGTGGGACAGAAGAAATTTGGCTGTCTTCCGACTTCAATTTGTAAGCTCAGCTCTGTGCATGATAACCAAATTTCACCAACACAGTCTGTGTTGAAGACAAAATGTGACAAAAAACAATCACTATGGGCAATATTTGCTATGCTATTATTTCTTGGACAATATGAATATTGAACTGAGAGTGTAAGAGAATGGAGAGATTTTACCCACTTTTGGTATTGCTGAAAGACTTTTGGAAAATTTGACTCATTTCCTTCCTCACTGTGTGTGTCTTTGGGCCATGCACTTACTGTCTTTTACTACAATTTTTCCTAACACTAAACTGGTAATAACATTAGCATTATAGCAAATGTTATCTTAAGAATTAAGAAAATAAAACTTGTGAAACACTTAACATAAACCTATGAATGAGCTTTGAGTTTAGCCAGCATTCTTTTTTAAATACTAAATAGAATGTGATAAGTAGTACAGAAACCATTAAATGTAGTGTGAGCAACCAAAAGTAATATCTATTGACCATGCTCTGCTTCCAAGGAAGAAAGGTGGATAACTTCTCATGCTGTAAATCAAACAGGTAATCTTATGTAGTCATAGTGTAAAAATATCAGGGACAGAACGATGAAGGAATGTTGTAGACTGAGGTGAAATCCATATGAAAATGTGCAAAACTGATAAAACATAAAAGTATCTGAACAGTATATTGTGTTTTACATCATTTAAGTTACATCGCAAAGATAAGGAAGACCTAGAAGAATAAATTTTCTTTTTGATATTCTATCATAGGTCCTTAGAAGGATGAACACTTTCCTCATTCTTGTAGAGGCATCATCAGATGAGGGGAACTATATTTTTGTTTGCTTCCTTCCGTTTATTCTTCAGGTTGAAATCTGAACTACATGAGACTGAAAGAAACCAAGTGAAATCAGTCATGTAGGCTTTGGAAAGAACAATCAAAGTAAAATAAATAAAATATATATAGCCTTGTAAATTGAGTTATATAGTCTCAAGCATTAACAGAAAATGATTAAAGCAATATCACTTTATTAAAAATTTAAAAATGTTAGGAGCTGCTTAATTTTTTCATTTCTACTACCTTGAATTAATTATTGATTTTCTATAAAGAGATTAAAGATGAGATTAACAAGAAACTTGATTAAAAATGGACAAAAGTTCTGAATAGACATGTTTTCCAAAAAGCCCTGAAAATCGCCTGTGGATTTACAAATTTGTATTTAATACAACTTCTATGCTGGCTTAATGCTTTGTGAGCAGAAGTCATTAGAGAAATGCAATTCAAAATTACTATGATACTACTTCTTAACTATTATAACTCTTATCAAAAATATCCAAGGAACCAGGTGTGGTGGCAAAGGCTGGTAATTCCAAGTGATTGGAGGTTGGAGTAAAAGGATTTTAGCCTAAGGCCAGTCTGGGATACTGTGCACAGTAAAAACCTGCCCTTTAAAAAACTCAAAAGGTAATAATGTTGGCTGGCGACACTGTGGAGAAAAGGAAATTTTCTACACTCTTGGTCAAAATACATGTTAGTGTTCTCATTGTAGAAAGTAGTATGCACTTTTCTAAAGAAATCCAAAATTGAAATATCATCTGACCCACCAATCGTGTGATTATTTCTTTCTGGGTAACTCATAAATATATCTGTAGTTCATTGTTATTCACATTATTCACAACAGCCAAGATATAAATCGAAGTCCAGTGTTCAGCTACAAACTAATAAAGCAACTGTGGTACATGCACAAATATCTTTTTCTGTTGATCCCAAAGTAATTTTTTTATTATTTTCCTGTTTCCATGTGATTAACCTCCAAATTAGAAATCCAGATATATGATTTAATTTTACCAAAACTATTTATTGAGTATGAGGACCTTCTACTCTCTACATTCTTCACACTAAGATCACCAAATATGATGAGTTTGAAATAATTAGTCTCTTTTTGACCTATGTTAATATTCTTTACAATGTGAGGGAAATGTTTAAAAAGTAGTATTTGTTTTAGCTTAATTGCTCTGAAGAGACAATAAATGATATTATCAAAGCTTAAAAATGATTTGATTTAAAATTTAGAATTCAGTAAATGGTTGTGACCACTCTGGTTACTGGAGCCTTCACTACAACCTCATGAGACAATTTATATTGATGAAGCAAAAATCTGAGGTTAAATATTTATGAATAAAAAAATCATGTCATTCTGAATATGTAGAGTTACATATAAAACATAGAAAATTTAGCTTTTAAATACCTAAACATGCTAGTACATTTAATTGCAGGGTAAGTATTTGTTCTGAAAGGAGATAAAATTGCACTTATTTTGAAATGAAAACTTAAGTATTTATTTGAATAAAAGACAATGTTTAAAATATCACTCATTCAAGAAACAAGATGTACAGTTAGTTGTTTTTCATGCCAATTATGTTCTCTAAACTTACTACAAATACTAGATTAGTAAACCTAATTCATTGCTTTGTGGGGAAATAGCAATTCCGTTTCCTAAAACTCATGACAATAACTTTTTCTCAAACAATTGCTAAGTAACTGTTTTATATTTTTTGTCATGGAATCTTATTCGATAAATTTATATTCATTAAGTTAAATAATTGGCCAACAATATAAATTATGCATGGACGAAGTTTATCTAACACGAGTTTTTTTTTTCAGAAGACAGATCATGGCTCTCTTAAAGAACACTAGAAGGCTGTGTGTTCTTTATTAATTTTTAGTGATTTTGTTAATGGATATTAATTGTCAGAAGTGACAATTCCATAATATATTTAACATATTTGATTATACTCCCTCTATTTCCTTCTCATTACTTCTTCCTCCAAAGATCTTCTGTTTTTCACATAAAATTACATCTTTATACATGCGCATATAAACTAATTTGGAAGATTTAAGCTGAACTGCAAATTAATTCAAGATGTACAGTAAATTAATAGGATGAATAAAAACCTGAATATTTTCGCTAACTTTTGAATTGAGCTATCATTATTATTTTGGTTAGGGTTAGGATCCCAGACAAAATTAGAATTAGGATTAGAGAAATAGAAAATTTAGGTTCATCACAGGATGACTCATTGCAACAATGATACTCACATTCACTATGTTGAAAATGAAGTTTACACCATGAGACGGGAGGGGTAAGGGATGTGGGGAGGGATGGGATAGTGGCAGAACAAGAAAGAAATGGGTAACAATGCTCAACAAGAAACATACTCCTTACCTTACACATGTAACATATCCTTCTTTAAAGCATCTTTTCAACAAAATAAAATTTTTAAAAAAATAATGAACAATAAAACCTGACAGGAAATAGAAAAACACTTAACATTTTATGTTCAAAATGCAAATAAAATTTAGACCTACACGCTAAGCAATTGTTAGGATAAATATGAAAAAAAGTGGCT